GAGGCTGAGGTGAGTGGATTGCCTGAGCCTGCGGGTTCGAGACCCGCCTGGGCAACTTGGCGAGACCTCATCTCTACAATAAATTAAAAATGAGCTGGGCGTGGTAGTGTGCACCTGTAGTTCCAGCTACTCGGAAGGCTGAGGTAGAAGGATTGCCGGAGCCCAGCAGGTCAAGGCTGCGGTGGCTGGGAGCGGCCACTGCACTCCAGTCTGGGTGACAGAGACTCCAACTCAAAAAAAAAAAAAAAAAGAATATAATTGGCAATAATAGAACATACTACCCAACAACAGCAGAACAAGCCAACCTCAAAAATTTAAAATAATTGATATCATACAGAAGTAATACATTCCTAAATATACCATGGGTCAGAGAAGAAGTCTCAAGGCAAATGTTAAAAAAATACATAGTAAATATTTGTAGGATGCAGCTCAAGCAATACTTAGAGGAAAACTTTCAATACTAAATTTGTACATTAGAAAAAGGGAAAGTTCTTAAATCAGCAATCTAAGTTTCTCCCTCAAGAAACAGGAAAGAAAAAAAAAAAAGGAGCCAAGGAAACAGAAGAAAATAAATGAAGTAAGGGTAGAAATCAATGAAATTGAAAATAGGAAAATAAAACGTTATAAAGCAAAAAACTAGTTCACTGAAAACATCAATGAAATTGATGTATCTCTAGTAAGGCTTGCAAAATAAAACAAAGACACAAATCATGAATATTAGAAGTGAAACAAGATATTATTACAGGTCCTTCGGCCATTGAAAGGATAATAAGAGAGTGCTACAAACAATATTATGCTGCTAAATTTGGCAACTCAGATAAAATAGACCCATTACTTAAAAACCACAAATTGTCAAAACTCAACCAAAATGAAATACTCTAAATAATTCTACGTCGTTGAAGAAACTGTTTTGTAGTTAAAAGGCTCCCCAGGTGTCTTAGTTTAGGTTAAAGAGAAAAAGTTTCCTCAAAGTAAAATGTTTAGGTTAGATGTTTTAGTGGAGAATTCTACCAAACATTTAATGAAGAATTAATACCACTTTAACTTAATATCTTTTCAAAAATACAAGAGGGAGAAACACTTCTGAACTTATGAGGCTAATATTAACCTAATAACAAAACCTGACAAAGACAGTACAGTAAAAGGTAACTATAGACCAATATCTCTTATGAACCTAGATGCAGAAATTTTTAATGAGCTAGTAGCACTTAGAGCTCATCCAGATATAAAGAGAATTATATAATATGAACGAGTGGAATTTATTCCAGGTATGCAAGGCAGGTTCAACATTTATAAATCAAGCTAATTTACCATATTAACACAAAAGAAAAATTATATTATCACATCAGTTGATGCTATTAAAGCATTTTCACAGTCTAACACCTCATCATTAAAAACTTTCAGGAAGTTAGAAATAGAGTGATATGATCTCAGCTTGTTAAAGAATATCTATAAATTCCTACAGCTAACATCATATTTAATGTGAAATGCTGAACGCTTCTCCTGTACGATTAGGAACAAGGCAAGTATGTCTGCTCACATCACTCCTATTCAGCTTAGTGCTTTAATAAGTTAAGAAAAAGAAATAAAATGCAGATTGCAGAGGCAGAAATAAAAACTGTCCTATTTGCACATAGCATGCTTTTATATGTAGAAAATCTCAAGGAAATGACGAAAAATTCTAGAACTGAGTTGAGCAAGGTCTCAGGATACAATATCAACACACAAAAATCAGTTGCAGTCTGTCTTTATCTTAACATGAATATATGAAAACCAAAATTTAAAAGACAACTCATTTATAGTCACAAAGAAAATTATATGCTTGAATTTACATTTAACAAAAACATACAAGACTAGATGCTGAAAATTACAAAATGTGGTGAAAGAAATCAATGAAATTCTAAATAAATGCTGGGACATATGTTCATGGATTGTAAGACTGAATATAATAAAATGTCAATTCTCTCCAAACTTGATCTGTGGGTTTAATGCAAATCTTATACCAGTATGATTTTTTTTTTTAAAGAAACAGATTTGTTCTAAAATATGAAAGGCACGGTACATAGACTAGCCTAAATAGTGTTGATAAAGAAGAATGAAATGGGAGAAATCATTCACTTTGATATTGTGTCACTGTAGTCATCAAGGAGGTATGGTACTGGTGGGAGGGATTGACACATAGATCAATGGGAAGAATAGAGTTCCCAGAAACACTCAAAAAATATGCTTAGCTGAGTTTTACAAAGATGTAAAAGCAATTCCTTGGTGGAAGGATAACCTTTTCAACAAGTGATGCTGGAGCAATTAGATATCCATAGGCCAAAACAAATAGAAAAAACAAAAACACATACATGAAAACAAATTTGAAAAATCCCAAAATGAGTTATTTTAAATCTCATACCTTGTATAAAAATTAGTTCAGAATGGATCATAGACTTAAATAAACTTCTGGAAAAAACATTTTTTAAAACAAAAAACATGCTCATACCTTGCAAAGTCCCTGTACCTAGAAAATTCCTTTTAGCCCTTCAGTATTCAATTTGGGCATCACACCTGTGGGAAGCTCTCATTGGTTCTATGTGGCTGCCTGGGTTGCTCTTCTATCTTAGGGGCTCCAGTCCTCACATGACCTTACCTGTATGCATGCACAAGGTGATCTCTGGTCTCTCTTCCTTTTCCTTGAGGACAACAGTCTCATCACATTAGGGACCCGCAGGTATGACTTCATTTAACCTTTGTTACCTCTTAAAAAGGCCCTATCTCCAAATTCATTTACATTGGGGGTTAGGACCTCAACATGAGTTCAGGGGAGCTCATAACAATGTGTATTAATTTCTCAATAAATAGTGAATGAAGAGTACTTTCCTTCAACTTTGCTTCTCTATTGGCATGATATTTTGTGGCAGTTACTCTGTGACTTTGGCATTCAGCAGACCTTTTTTGTTTGCAGTACTATTTGTAAGATTTGAATGTTTTATTTGCTTTCTTGTAAATTTTTTAGGAACTTGGAAGAAAGTTTGTAGGTACAGCTATCTTGAATAATATTTTTCCTTTACTCCCTTTTTTCAAGTACTAAGAGAGATGGATAGGTGAACTATTTAAAATCACAACAAAAAAATTGCCAGGTGTGGTAGCTCGTGTCTGGAGACTGAGGTGGAAGGATTGCCTGAGCTCAGAAGCTTGAGGATGTGGTATGTCGATATCGTGCCACTGCATTCCAACTTGGGAGACAGAATGAGACCTCGACTTTTAAAAAAAATTATAACCAAAAAATTAAAAGACTTTACAGTCAACTGACATAATAATCTGATAGGATTTTTTTTTTTAAAGTGAGAAAGCAGGATTTATTGAGAGGACAGAAAAGCTCCTACAGTGGGAGGGGACCCAAAAGGGTTGCCCATAATCTGATGTGATGTTCTTTCATGATGGACAGTATTATAATATTAGTACATTGTTATACACATATGTATGTAAAGGCTACTACTAATCTGTCTCTTCTTTCCCTCTTGTTCCTTGCTGCGGTTTTTAATTCCATATTATTTCACTCACTTGGCCTCAAAATCGATTATCTTGGATGACTTCCTCTGTTTTGTACCTCAGTGGGGAATGACATTGATTTTGTTTCTTTATTACTCTACCCCTTTCCTCCACTGATCTAACAAGCCAAGCCTCATTGCCTCTCTTGCATAACCTCTTCACAGGCTTCACTGATTCACTTTTATTGAAATCAAGTTCATCTTACACAGAGTTTCTGGATGACTCTTTCTGATGATACATTGAAAATCTTGATATTATCTCAATTCTAATACTAAATTGATCTGAGATAGTTCTTCAAATTATCTTCTTACTATACTTACTGATTTTTTTTTTTTTTTTTGAGTT